TAGGCCACCAAAAAGATAATTTATTGTACTGAGCTGAGCTATGTAATTATAAATTAAACACAGAATAAGCAATATAAATAATAACAACAAGTAATGTCACTGATCTTAATCTAATCTATGTAGAAGTGAAGGTCTCTCAACAGCTGACCTATGAATTATTCTTGCAGAACAAGAGGAAGTACTCCAACAGTTTTCTATTTTTTCACTTCTTTGTATTACTGCTTGCCTCAGCAAACTGAAGCCCATGCTTAAGCTCTTGGTTTACACCAGTTTAGAATCAGTAAATATTACCTAGTAATTACTGTATCCTATAGAAAAGTTGAGCAGTCTGAAAACTACATTGAGTTCTAGACAGGGAAAATTTGTAAACTGTCTTAGGAGTTCCCAAATTTATTGGCAAAGGATTCTGTGCAGGCATGCATATTTGAGGAACGCCTAACCTATTATGTGCAAATAAATAATAATGTCACCCTTGATTAAGTAATGAGTCCTGTACTTTGCATTTGTAAAAATGGTAAAGAATCACAGCACAGTATGGCATGGTTATTAACACTCTAGCTATTAGATCTTGCTACTGAAACATGAACTACAATATAAAACTCTCAGCAGCATTGCGATTTTTCCACTTTCATTTTTTTTTGCGACTTTGAACACTAATATTCATAAGAGAAAGAATGATGTCATTGATTTAACTCATAACCACTTTCTGGCAAAAGGAAAATAAAAACATTGGAATGACATCTGGCATTAAGTCTCTGTTTCCTTAAAAACATGTTTATACTTTCTGTTTCTCTAGACACCAAGGACAACAATAAAATCTGTATTCTGACAAATTTTACAGCATCAAATTAGTACTAATTAGTACTTGGAATTTTAGAGATGAAAATACTACACTGTCAAGAGATCTCCATCTAAGTGTATGTATACAGCTTCTACCACCAGAGTATTTGACCTCACTACCAGGAGTGACTAAAAATTACAGTTACTTTTGCTAAAATATTAGAGAGTTGTCTTTTTATATGGTAGCTGAAATTTTTTATCAGCTAGGCATCATACAGGTAATTACATCCACTGATCTATAGGATGAAACTGTGATTGTGTTAATGATTTTTAGTTATGGATTGATTTTGTGAATTTGTTTGGGTTCTGGGTTTTTATAGTATTATTTGTTATGAATTTAATTCAAATTACTCTTGAGATTATGTGACATTAATCAGCATCACAAAACAAAACTTCGACAGTTATGAGATCCAATGGTAGGTAGCATCATGGTTTTTAGGTTAATGCTGAAGCTGTCTAATTTCCCAGGAAACTGTGAAATGTTGGACAGAAGGTGCAAAAATTTAGTTTCACAAAAAATCTCAAGAAGCAAGATTTCCCTCTCCAACACTATAATAACAATGAATTTAATAATCTTCCAGATATCTTTATTTTTGCCAATCCAGATATTCTAACAATGCTGGTACATTTGCAGTTTTAGAAAGAAGTTTACCACAGACATCTTAAAAAAGAAGAGAATGTCCTCATACTAAACAAGAAAGACAGCTTCCTCTTTTGGGAAGGATCACTGAAAAAACCCTCTAAATTTGGAATTTAAATGGTGGGGGTATTAATAAAATAGACTTCTACTCAGTATGACAAGTACTTTATTCTTAAATCTTGAATAAATTATGCCAGAAGGATTCAGCCAATTCTAAGAGGTAACGCCCAACCTCAGTAATTTTAGAGTAGTTCAAATCAAAGAGGAACAGCACTTTCCTTTGGGGCACATTATGGACTCATTCACACTGTCTGCTGGGTACTTTTAAACTGAATTTGGAGGCAAAAATCCCTGCTCAGTAAATATATGAGTAGTATATGCTAAAAACAGCAAAAGTTTTTTTTCTCTCAAAGTGTCACATTTTGTTTACTCTGGAGAGAGCTCTTCTTGTGCTTTTGTATTTCATGGGTCTACACTGCTTAATAACCTGCAATAAAGACATAAATTTTAGAGGAATAGGGAATATAGCTAAAAAGTATGGAGTGGCAGCACTCTTTATTACTTTGTTACCTCCCTAAATACTAAATCTTGCAGGAAAACAAAGCATTCACGTGAGGAACACTGGCGAGTTACAGGCTGTGGAGTGCAGCATTTAGTCTGTTCCCTTTCCCATCTATCAGTTTTATGGATGGTCAGAATGAGAAAAAGTAGAAAGAGGATCTCAAGAGAAGAAATGGGGTAGGGTATCTCCTTTGTAAACAGGACAAACTTTCAATTCACACAGCATTTAAAGCTCCTCACTAGTGAAAGCTCTATCATGTGCAGAGGAAGAACAGTAGAACACAGAGCAAACTTGTGACTGACAAAATTAATAATTTTGATGCATTACTCTTAGATCATGATTCTCTTTCCTTTGAGCTCAACACTGTGATTCCATTGAAATCTAATATTACTTCCAAACTACTCATCCATCCCAGTTAAGGAAAGAACAACACTCTGCTAAAGGTAAATATGCAGCTGCACTTTGAGCAGACCTTCAGTCAAAACCAAATTTCCTTGATGCAGGTGTAAAAAATTTAATGAGCCAACATAGGTCTGAAAAATGTAGAGATTTTAGTTATAACAAAAGTCTAGAAGTGGGCTGTTTTGACCTCTAGCAGGCCATTTTTTTGAACTGAGTACTTGCAATTGAAAAGGGTAAATCAAAGAGTAGAGAGAAAAAGAAAAACATAAAAGGTTTTTTAAAACATAAAACAAAAAAGAAAAACATAAAAGTCTAATGGTTCGACTAAAGTTTCTTATCAACGTGTTTTTTACTGAAAAGCATGAAATAGACTAAGCAGAGAATCATGAGAGCCATCAGAGAAATCCAGTAATGTCAGAAATTCCAACACTGCAGATTTATTTTTTTGGGAAATCTGAGATTCTAACATCAACTGTTTTTACTGGCTTATCTCCTTTAGCATCAGCTGGAGTCTGACATGCATCCATCAGCAGAAAATCTACAATTCCTACATTGTCAGAGTCTAACAATATTAGTCCCAGTAGATACTTTACAAACAGTTGTCTTCCATGCTGTTCCTATATACAATGCTACTTACATGTTGAAACAAGTACATTTTATTGAGGATGCTTTAAGATTTATTATTTTAAACGATATGAAACAAAAAATATGCTTAAGAATTTCTCAGTAATACTGCTGAAATAAACTATGACAGCATCAAATTTAGTACAGTGTGCTATGTACCAAGCATTCACAAAGTAATGTCCTGATTTTTTTTTTAAATAAATATGTCTTTAATGTCTTCTGGGTCTCAACACTTTGCTCTCCCTACAAAGCCCTGTCAACAGCTCAAAGACAGGCCATGTGCTCAGAAGCAGAAAATGCATGTCAGACTTTGTCTTCAAAATAGAGTCCATGTAATTCAAAATAACTGGTGTTTGAACTACTGAAAATAACTATGTGCTTAAGGAACAGTTACAAATGTCAGCCTAGGAAGTTTGCTTTGGCTAACACAGGTTACCTTAATATGATGGGTGGAAGGCAGAGGGTATAATCCAAAGCCACCTACGATTATGGGAGTGCATGTTAAACATTTGTTTTTTATGAAATATATAGTTTGGTCGTTCCTTACCTCTGTTTTCCCACTCCCTGCTGATTTACTGTGTGGCTTTTATATAGTCAGCTGTCTGTTGTGAAAACAATGCTGAGGGTGCAGCTTTATTATAATTCTAAAGCTGAACTGGCTTTAAGATGGAACTTAGCCAGGCTCTGAGAAGAGCTATGCGACTTGACTCAATGTGGGAGAGAGAAGGAGACTATGGGCTGTCAGTCCCATCTTCTACAGAAAAATAAAAGAACGGCTGGAATGAGTTATTTGACCTGAGGTGTGTTGTTTCTTTTAAATAGAAAAAGAAAGTTGCCTATGATACTCAAAAATATTTCAGTCTTACCAAGAGATAGTAGTTTCAAAAATTAATTTAGACAAGAGCTTGCTACTATCTAAGTTTTGTAGTTTTTTGCTCTCCAAACCTTGCAGGCAGTCATTGACTACAAAGCTGTGATGTGTGGGCATGTTCTTCTTGAAGGACCAGGGGCTGTACCCTGCTGCCAGAGATCATGAGGAGAATCATATTGGTTGGTTGTTCTAGATGCTTGATTTTTACAGAGATATCTGGTTTTCACTCATTTAAGGCTGACTCTAACTTCATTAGGAGTTTGCTCATTAAGACATGCCTCTTGATAGGGTTTCAGAAGATGGTTAAAACAATAAAATGGCAGAAGAGACAGGTAGAAAAGTATTAAGCTTGCTGGGAACTTCAGCAGAAATTAGCTTTACTAGGTTCTTAGAAAAAGCTTCTCCTTTTTTTGGTACATCTCCAAAGGTTAGTGGGATAGAGTTCAGTATACCACTAACTCTAAATTTCCTGAGAGAAATCCAAATGTGATAGAAAATGGTATGTAAATAATACTGTGGTCACAAACAGGATGCCATAAAAAATGTGGTGGTGGGAAAAACTGAGGGTAGATGACAGTTGTGAACAAGAGAAAGCTCACTCTCTTGGTGCATGGAATTTCCAACATTCATCTACTCATCAACTGAGCATATTACACAAGTTTTACACTTATACAGTAAGAAACTCCTCTCTGCATTTGATTCAGCACATTACTGCAAAAAGCATATAACAATAATAATAATTAATAATAATAATAATTATTAATAATAATAATAACAGCAACAATCCTAGGCAATGACGAAAGTTATATCTTCTTGAAAGTTCATATAAATGCAAAACTGTCACCCAATTCAGATTACTTATATACTTCACCTTTAATGCCTACTGTTTATATAATTTCTTAGACACAGCTATAAAAGAATAAATATGTAGGTTCCCATTCCTCTCACCAATTTGGTAATAAGGAACAGCTCTTCAGCAAGACATCCCAACACACTTCTTCATAAACAAATTCAAGTTACAGAATGCAATGGAAAATCAAAACATTAAACATAATGTGTACCTGCAGAAGTAATCTCTCAAAGGCAAGGAAATTGTCCCATTTGGAAGTCTGGGGGTGTTTCAAAGTCTGGACTGTGGCCAGCACAAGCTGCAGAAGACCGCAGTGGTTCTCCAAAGCTTTGAGATTGTTTCTGAAAAGCTGAATGTATGAGCTGAGCTGTTCTGGGGTGACTCTGCCTGTAGAAAGGAAAACAGGACACAGCATTCAGTGGTGACAAATGCAAAACTAAATTTTTTAAATTATAGTGAAAAGGTTATGGAGAAGTTTAGAGGCCTCTCCACTACGGACATGATCTTAGCTATGCTGCAATCACTGGAAGCTTCAGCTGCAGCAACAGGTCAGGACAAAGACATATGACATTCATGAATTGTGCCTTGAGGTATGTAATATGGCAGATTTTTAACAATCCACAACAGATGGTGACACAAAGGGTAATAATTTTGTTTTCCGACAAAGAGGGACATTCATTCCAGCTAGGGAAATAATATTTGATGACTACTTCTAAACAATCTTTCTGTTTTTACCAAAAGTCCAATGGGAATTTGTGAGCCTTCTACCTTGCAGAAAACTCAAATCTGCTCACAATTTCCTGAGAGCACATTTTTTGATTAGCTTTGACTCAAGAAACAGATATAAAGTTAGTGACACAAGCACCTGATTTCTGGAGCTGTTCTTGGAAGGGACACTTCCAAGGTGTGATTCTTCATTTTCTGACATGATGTAACCACAGCATGATTTCACCAGCTGTTTGAAAATAAACACCGCATCACCCACACAAGGTCTTGTAGATCTCTCCTTATTAGAAGAGAATGAGGGGAACCATTTGGGCCAGACAAATAATACAGGATTAGCTGCTGCTTCATCCAATGCTAAAATGCCAGCTGAACTGCTCAAGCAATTTATGTTTTGGAAGGGAACTCTTTCAGGAAGGAAGGCAGTTCATCTATCCCAAGAAAATTATCACAGGCAATTACACACACCCTCAACAGACAGGCAAAAATGGTGTCAAAACACCATCCTAGCTGCAAGTCTGGATTGTGACCCAATCCAAGGCCGGTTGCTAGAAGCCTCTGCCAGTAACAAGTCATCTTCCTCAAGCAAACCAGACCTAAAAAGCAGGGATATATGAGATAGAGTGAGGAGGATCCTTTAGCTTAAATATGACAGTCTTTGGTGCCAGGAAGACATGAGAGTGTCCTGATGCTAAGCAGTTCATAGCGTACAACACTGATCATTTCAGTCAGAATTTTTCCATAAAGGAAAAATCTTGTAAAACTGCCACTGTGTTTCTTCTCTGTGTTTGGTTATATCATCACTTAACAAGGCTCCCCATCTGCCTTCATCCTTTCAGTATCATATAAATGGCAAATAAATGATTCCAACAGCAAATAAATGTTGAAAGCTCTTCCTCTTAGTTTCAGTGATATCAATGGCAGTCTTTGGAATAGCATTTAGACTTGAGAAAGCTGCTAAATAAAGCAAAAACACACAAGCTCTTCATGTGAATTTTAATGGAAAGCATCAAACCAAAAAGTCAGCAAATTAACACACAAATCAAGCTGACACCACTCAGTAGGCCAGAGGGCTGACAAAAGGCTTCCACGGTTAGCCCACATAGGCTAAAACAGCAACTATGGCCATGTGTGTTTTTAGACTAAACACTGGAGCTTTCAGTCTTGTTTTATTTCTTTTAAAGCTGTGTCAGGCAGATTTACACGGTGATTTGAAAATGTCAGTCCACGATGCCTTGCAGCATACCTTTGATAATCACTGCATTATTACCCAGAGCAGTCCTGATATATTGTAGCATATTCAAAATCTGATAACTTGCTTCAATTGAGAAAACATGCAGTTGCCAGCCCTTCCCTCATCATACGAATCTGAAAAATCGGAGGGCTTTCAAGGCTTCTGATTTCAATTAAAAAAAAATAAAATTCAAGAGTTTTGTTCCACATTGTTCCTTGTGAAAGTGAATCCAGATGCAGCACTGGATCAGTTTGAGATCCATTCAACACCGTTTTAGATAAACAATCAAATTCTTTCCCACCCTCAGAATACCTCCAAAAGAAAGTCCAACACATGTGTAAGTATAAGGAAAACCCTGACCTTAGAAAGTCATTAACAAAACTTATACTGGCATTAAGGAGCGCAGCATCTCATCTGTGATGTTTACAATACCCATAGAACCACTCAGATCCAGGGTTTGAGAGTTCCAGCCAACTTCTACACAGCAATCTCCCTGGACAGCTGGCTGATAAATATAGTTGCAGCATTCTACTATCCCAGTAGCTGAGGAAAGGAATTTGGGAAAGTAACTGGTGGTAATCAGCAATTAAATGTTTTTTCCCAAGGTCTAAATCCTCATCATCTTCCCTGCTGCTTGCTCACAGAGGGAGACTTCAGCACAACAGACTAATGTTAATCTAATTTCAACCCTACCAGCCCTTTGGATTTTTCAAGTCCCTCTGTTGTTTCAGGTCGTTTCATTGCAATGTGGCAGACAAGTCCTAAGAAGTCAAGTGGAGACCTGTTTCAACCACAACAAGTCTCAGCTGTCATTTTGTTCTCTTAAAGCACATTTTGAGGTTCACAGGCAGAATATGGCAACTAATGGCAACAGGACTTTAGTGAAAGCATCTTGTCCTGCTCTCATCTTCCTGCTCCATCACAGTCATACGCTGCTCAAACTCTAGATCATGCATAGTCAAAAGTTTGTGTGGGCATCAAAGCCTGATTTGTGAGAAATACATTATGCTGACAAAGCACTTGATAATTTTTTATCAAATTATTAAATATTAAATTCCTGGAAGTGGAAAGGAAAAGTTTGACCTCAACCATTGTTGAAGAATTTAAAAATACTGATAACCTTTTTGCACAAATGCCAGGAATTCCATATTCCATATTGTCTAAGAAATAACCTTTGCCATTAAGAGTTATCAAGCAGAATGTGTGAAACAGGTACACTTGTCCCAGACTCTGTCAACTACATTAAACCCAAATACAGGACTTGAAAAAAATGACATCTACTGAAAGCAATATTAAAACAAAACTAAAACAACCACACACACACACACATACACATAGAAACAAATACAAATCTCAACAACAACACAACACTCTGAAGCCTCATGCCTCTTCATAAGTATACAGAGAGGGTAAAATCAACAGGTTGTCACTGGAAAGCATCACAGTGAAACCCAAAAGTTCACAGAACATAGGAGGATGGGGAGCAGGGAAAAAAATCAGACTGATGATGTGTGGAAACTAACTCAACTAAAAACAATGAATGGCTAGTTTGGCACAATTAACACTAAAGAAATAATCTTGCACTAAAGAAATAATCTTAGGAAACAGAATGAAATAATAGTGTAGGGAATGAGACTGGATATTATGGAAGTAACAGACACATGACAGACTAGTGACCTATCTCACTACTGGGGGACCTGTCCCATCCAAGAAACACTGAACATCATGTGATGAAGCAACCCTGCGTTTCAGTACTCTGATAAATGGAAGATAAAGAGTAAGACAGAACAGAGAGTAGACTGGCCTAGGAAAGGATAAGACCAACATTTGTGTCAAAGAGATGGTGAAATTAGCTGCCTTATTTAGCTGATGTCAAGAGTGTTGAAAAGCTTCAGGACAAATGTCCAAGAAAAAAATATCTTACATCACACCTAAAAATGGGGTAAAATGCAAAGTACATTTATCAAAGAACATCATGTCAAAATTGATACACAACCAATTAATTAATTACAATGCACATGGATTTAACAGAGCATTATTTGTGCCATAACCACATTTCAGTGGGAAAAGACTACAATTACAAGAATTGTAAGATATCTAAGAAACACCCAAAAGCAGATGGCAGGTAATATGCAACAGAGAAGTAACAGAATAAAAAAAAAGAAAAGGTAAAATAAGAGTGTTCTTTTGTGTGCTTGTACATATTTATAGTACAAATTTTGGTAATAAATGGTGCCAAAACAGGTGCTGTCAGAAGCTTGTGGAACATCATTAATATGGAGAAAGAGCAGCCAGCAGAGCTGGATTGCTTTGAGTACTGGACAAATATAAGTGGGATGAAATTTAACAGTATAAAAATGATGCATTTTGAAGCTAGGGTAAGAGCTATAAATGTGGAGTTAAAACCTGAAAATGACAGAGGAAGGAAAAAATGTCTAGGCCTCTTCATTGTAAAAGAGCAGGTATAATTTCTTTCAAGTGATACAGTTGTAGTAAAAACAGGACCATAGAAATGCCTCAATACAAAGCCTATCCCTCCCTGTGCAGCTCAAATCACTCCATTCCTGGAAGTTTAACTAAAAACTGTGATGCATGCACATAGAGGTTACTATAACAATTATGATGATGGAGAAGTAAAATTAGGAAAGCAAAACAGAAATGTCTAGCTTATATGGGCTCCCTGCACCACCTGGAAAAAAAAAAAATAAGGTCCCTTTGAATGCATAAATATTTACATGAAAGTTCAATACTGGTACTACAACCAATGGGGATAAATAATACATGAATATTTTTACACAAGACATTAAGAAACATCACTGTATCAATCAGTCTTCCAGCAGTGGACACAAGAGCAGAGGCAAACAAATGTAACTTGCTCTAAGGTGAAGCTTGATGAGTGTCTAATGAGCAGCTGCATAAATGTTCACAAGACTTAATTCAATACAAATGGCCCACTTCAATCCTTTATTCCTATGATAATTAATTTGTAAACATATTGGTTGAATTCCACCTCCAGCTTTCAAGAATTTAGAGCAGATTCCTAAAAGAACTGCAGATCAATTTTGCCTACTTTTCAATTACAGCAGGTATTGCTTGGTTTTGTTTTTATTCTTTTAATAACTAATTGAATAAATAATTCATTGCTAAATATGAAAATAACAGCACTGGATATCAACATTTTCAATGTTTTACCATATCAAATTTACACAGTTCATAATACATGTAGAAATGATGATGTGCACAATTAGCCTGAAGGAAAGAAGTATTTCTGTTACTGGCAAAGCAGATCACTCAAGACAGACATACTGTGGCAGAAATTACCAGCAACTGATATTAAAGGTTTGTCAAAAATCTGGGTTTGAGTAAGAGTAGACTGAGTGGAACAAAAAGACTTTCACCTTAACAGTTAAACAGAAAATCAACTGGAAAA